TTATAATTATGAGCGGTCTGAACTTATTTCCACAGCGCATTTTTTATTTTGGTCGCTCATTTATGTGCAGCCCTGAATATAAATATATATATAGATTGTACAGCATTGGACTGTTCTGTTTTGTTTGGATGGAGAGGGTTTTTTATTTTATTTTTTATTTTCTGGTTGTCATTCACCACAGTAAGATTTATGAAAGGCATATGTTTTGTATTTGTCTATATTTGTAATATTCTGGATGTGCTCTTGTGGTCTTCTGGTCAACTTTGTTAAACTGCAGTGATTTATGCTGAAATCTCTCTCTTATGTCAGAATGTTGGGGTAATAATAGAGTTTGTGTCATAATTTGCTGCTTTTGAACAAGAGGATGATGTGCCTTTCTTAATTGGCTCCCTCTTCAAGACAAGGAGAACCCATCTGTAAGTGAGACCGAGAGGAAGAGAGAGACACAGAGGCTGGGTATGTCTCTGGGCAGTTCATGTCACAGACAGTTAAACGAGCAACAGTCTCCAGGACTGTGAAGATTTCGCAGTGCTGTCACGTGGACCCACTCAACAGCATGTCAACCAAACCCCCTCTCGTTTAATAGGTCATAAGTGTTCTAAGTCTTTCCAGGAAGAGCGCTCCCCATGGCCTTCATGAGCAATACTCATACTCAGGCCCCCGGATCTCTGTACAGCAGGCCGGTGGATTGAGACACAAACAGAATCATAAAAAGAAACCACAGATGAAATGATTTTACCATAGCAACTGTCTATATATCTTTGTAGTGGATCAAATTATGATGTTCATACCTGCGAACCCTATGCAGAACCAATTAAAAACATATTTCCAAAGGTTGTGTACGATGACCTTTAATGCAACGACCAAGCATCCTGGGGTCCATTAATCACAATGAGCGTCAACTTGTAAAGATGCATTTATAAAATACTGAACTAATGGTTAATAAGAAATCATTTAGGTCCACTACACAGTCTTTGTTGTTGTTATTTTAAGTCCTCTGATGTATAACTTTATGATCTTATTCCTCAGTAATATTCTACTGAGTATATCGTGATAGACCTCCACGTTAATTTTGATCAGCAACATTCTGCTTATATCAAACTTCAGTTCTTGATAAGATTTGTTGTATTCAAGACCTTGCTGATTACATCATGATATGACTGTCGATTTGTTGCATAACCTCATGCTGCTTTAATCAAGACGAAGCTCCAAATCCAACAGCAAGCCTTGTATTTTATTTTTCATTACAAAGAAAGGAACAGAAGAACGTCAAACTGCTCCATTGATTCCCTCCACACCTCCATCACTCGCGTGTTTTTGCCCAGTGAGACGGCAGCTTTTATATGCCTTTAGATATATAATTACACTCTTTAAGCAAATCCAGTTTGTTTCTCAAAAGACTTTTCTCAGATCTCTTTCCACAGATTTCCATGTTGTTTGTTTATATATTCCTGAGACTTTCTCCTCACGAGAGTAAATTTTTTTCTTCAGTTTGTAGCTACAGCTGTGATATTTGAATTACGATGGTCTGGTGAAACTAATCTCTGCGAGAGTTTGAGGAAATAGTTTGAACTATTGTGTGTGTTTGTGTGTTGGGAATGTCGATTGGTCACTTTTAAGTCACACCAAAGTCATTAACATCAAGAAAGGAGCGTAATATGACATTCACTTATTCGGTGATTAAGTGATGCATGATCGTTACCTCATCAGTAATCGCCGGTGTTCATTTATAAAGTGTGCTTTAGTATATAGCATACATTTTCACGTCCGCATAGAGACTGATACCATTTTTGAGATATATAAATATATCTTGCCAATATAGACTGATTTAGTTATTTAATCAATGAGATTAGTTAAAAATGTTAATTATTCAAATGTACAAAAGGTTCCGATTCAAATTATCCTGATGTATTTGCTGAAGTTCATTCATCAGCTTATAGCAATGTGAAGTAGCATTTACCTTCAGCTGGACTTCTTAGCTAATAGCACCAAGGCTATATCTGGCTTTACGTTCTCCATTGTGCTCTGATGATATAGCAAGCATGCTTAAGTCATTCTCTTAAACTTTCAAATTTATTTCTGACTCTTCTACAGAAATAACAGCTGCTTGAAATTATTGTGTGCTGCTACTCAGTACTAGTGAATACCGAATCTCTGCTGTTCAAGAAGCCTTCTGAACTTCAATATATATATATATGGTATATAATTTATTTAAAGCACATGCTTCATTACACTTAGTCACTTTTGGCTGAGGAGATGTTAATTCATCTGTTCACTAATTAATTTTTTTAATGTTACATGTTCTTGTGTCATGAAAGCAAATGTCTTGTTCCTTTATTATAATTTTTATATAATAATAATAGTTTGTTAAATAATATTATTTAAAAATGTTATACCTAATAATTTGTATTATTCATAGTAGTAGTTTTTTTAATGATTTGTCATGTTTTCATTGTCCTTTTGGCATGTGTTTAAATGCTGATATGCTCAAAGATGACCTGCAGGATTAAGAAAAATAATGATTTAAATGCAAAAATAAATAAATAATACTAGCTTACTATGATTATTGCCAATTATACTGAAAGGGTTTTCATTAGTGTATTTAAACCCACTTGCATTTCATTTCTTTGCAAGTGCTCAAATAATTAGACTTTCTCGTTAGTAGTTGTTTTGAGCACACTGGGGCCAGTGTGGGGCAAGTAATCTGTTTTGATGGTCAGTTGTCATGGAAACAGTTTGTAGCTTGTAGCAAAAAGCATTGCAAAGAGGGTGAGTTATGATAAAGTATATCAAGCACACACTCACGTACGCACAAAAAAATATGGTTTGATCATTCTTGATGCCTGTTTAGCTTTTCAGTGTTGCAATATAACCCCGAAAACGGGGCTTTGTGGTTGTCTGAATAAATATATGCCTGAAGCAAAAGGTAGACCTGTAAAATAATAATAATAATAAATTAGAGAAAAAGAAAGGGAGATTGTCAGTCATTATTTGTACTTAACCATGTGTCTTAGAATGTTCAAAACATCACTTTGATCTTTGGCCTGCAGCACTGTTGGACAGCAGGAGAAAATGCTAGATGCAAATTATAAATGCAACTAACCATGTAACTGTAGATCATTAGAATGGCGAAATAAGCAACTTTGATTAAAATACTGTAAACCTAAACTTTCAAGAGAGAAGGGAATATACCTATTTAAAATATCAATATCAATTTGTTGCTGATATCAAACACATCGAGTCAAACTCTATAATATTTTGACACAAATTAATATGTCACTTGGTAGAGGCTAGTAAAATTAGACAGATGTCAACAGAAAATGTTGTGTAACATGCCCTTATTCTTAAAAAATATGAACAAGCTAACTCAAGATGAAAGAAAATACAACCCAGAATATAAATATGGATTCATTGGTCATTTAGGGTATCTTCAGTTTCTGTAGTCAGCCATTGTCATGCAATGGTAATATCAATACATTTCTGTTATTTTTTTTAAGGACATTTGTAATTATTTTTTTGTATGATCATTTTGGTCCTGTGTTGGGTTGTGACTTGATGTCCACTGTAAAATCTGAAGCTGTAACTGTACACTCCTTGAGTATATTTGGTTTAAAATGTACTTTACAACTGGTAAAGAAGTGTGTCCTACACTCTTAAAAATAAAGGTGCTTCAAAAGGTTTTTTGGTTCCACAATGAACCATTCAGTCAAAGGTTCTTTAAAGAACCTTTGACTGAATGGTTCATTGTGGAACCAAAAAACCTTTTGAAGCACCTTTATTTTTAAGAGTGTATATAGTATTAATAGAGGTAGTTTGAATGAAATTTCAGATGTACCACATCTGGCATCTTGCTATCACATGTCGTACCAGCGTCAGTTGTGTCGCTTCACTGTCATTCACAAATCCTGTCCTGTGGCCTCATGGGATAGTAAAGTGTCCATTGGCCGCGCACTTCAGAATCTCGCTTGAAGTCGCATGTAATTTGGGTACTTTTCGCCTGCTGTTTTTCAAATACTATGTGGAAATACTATTTTCAAAACTTTTCAGCTACTATATAGTATGGAAGTAGGTATATTTGGACGCAGCATGAGTTTTGAAGCAAAGCTAGTTGAGAACTACCAGTTGATACTGAAAAACTGATGCAGATTTGTTTGCAGGGGAGATAAAGCTGCTGTTAACACCTTGCTATCTGCAGATGGGATAAACATTTTCTGCTCCTCATAATGCTTTTTATCAGACTATTTTGCTTCCTTACTTTGATAGGTTCTTGAAAGAATTCTGTTCCTTCTCTTTGTTTTCTTTGTGTTTTTTTTTCAATCAGTGACTACAAGAAGAAAGATAAAATATAAAAGATGCAGACACGTCATAGCTCTTCACAACATTTTTTAACTGCCTCAGTGTCATGCTATGAAAATGTATTTACAGCTCAAAGTGAAGACCATAAATGTATGCATTTTATGATTGATCTATATAGCTAATTAGACCTTGAAGCCTCATTCTCACGTCTTGACCCTTTTAAGGGACAGTTTTAAGGGACTTTTGTCCTTTTGGCATGTAGATGGGTAGATGGTTAGAAAGCTCCATGCCAGACGATTACGCCATCAAAAAGCCACTTCAGTAGACTGAACACGACGTGACTTAACAGCCTTGATGTGCAAAGGGACAAGAAAACAGGATTCTTTCTCCTAGAGTCAGGAACAGAGAATTTTCAAATGTTAAATGGATAATTGTTTCAAACCCGTATGACCTTCTTTCTTCTTGTGGAACAAAATGAGATATTTTCACAGATATTACTATCCCTTTCAACATAATTTCCCTGAATTACATTTACAATTAGGTTGGACGTTATGGAAACCTTTGATCTCAAATCAAATATTTAGTCTATATTTTATCTATTTTCATCTCACTTTTCATCTTAAATACAATTTTTAGCTCTCTGCACATGAGCCTTGGTTTTTAACCATCATCTTTTGCTTTCTCTCACACTATGTCTCTTTCAGATGTACGGGGACTGCGTGGGTTTCTGGACCAGGCGTCTCAAATGGGTTTGGATGTGTCTCTACAACAGGTTGACCGGAATGTGACAAAGGTCTTTTCCACTCTGTTCAGCACGATGAGGATGGAGGAGCTGAACCGCTACCGGGACACTCTCAGACGGGCCATCCTGCTGCTCAGTCCTCGCACTGCCCAGGTCTTCATACACCAGGTAGGTGTTATTGTAACAGCAGTTCGGAAGCAATACACGCATAGGTGGGAAGATGCAGTGATGCTGTTATGTACCAGTGCCTATATGTTATAACATATAGGATATACTGTATAGTGTTTGTGTGTTTGAGAGTATTTTTGCCTTACTTTGAGGACTTTGTCAGAAGAAAAAACAGTTCATGAAGGATGTTTTTAGGAATGAATAATGTCTATTTTTTCTAGAAATAGAATCAATGTATTTTTAATAGAGCCCGACCGATATATCGTTTTGCCGATTTTATCAGGCGATATGAGCCTGTCGCGGATATATCGGTATCGGCGTATATGCCACCGATATGCCACCGATATGAAATTTTTTTTAGAGAACATAAAACACAGATAAAATGCTTGGAAATGGTGTAATTACGTAGTTTGTAATTGTAAGCATAGTGTGCTCTATTGTTTGCTACTGGCGATCTGGATGAAATGCTTTAAAGCTTAATTGTTTGGAATACCATTGTAAATTTGAACATATCTTGTAACGGCAGCTCCGCACCAAATTCGGGGGATCCCTTCAGCTCGAGGAGCCCTCTCGAACGCTGAATCGAGTGTACGTCTCAAGGCCCCCTTTCGAATGAGGCCACCCCCGCGTCGATAGCCCCCGGGGTCCGGGAGTTATGTGTAACAATAAAGTGTATTGTTAAATTGTTAAATACCTTGCCTCCATTACATATCTTTGACATGTCATTATAAGTGTGTCATCACAACATTTGAGTGATCATTGCAAAAAATGTATTCTGTTTATGTATATACTGCATTCTATATATAGTACCAGTCAAATGTTTGGACACACGAATGGGAAAGTGTCCAAACTTTTGACTGGTACTGTACTATAATATACACATACAGAATCTCAGCCGATATATATCGATATTGGCATTTTTTACTCCCTAATATCGGTATCAGCATCGGCCCTCAAAAATCCCATATCGGTCAGGCTCTAATTTTTTATATATTTTATAGTGTATACTTTATTAGATATTAAATATGTACATATAATGTAAATATATATATTCTGTGTATATATATATATATATATATATATATATATATATATGTTTTATATATTTATATATATAATCAATGATAATATACATCAATTTTATACATTTTATATTAATTATAGTCTTAATTATAATATATTACTATAATACTATTTTTCTAGAATATATGAATTTTATTAATAATATGTTAATAATATTTATATAATATATCATATAATTAGTTATATATTTCTATATCTACAGAGTCTACAAAAAAAGAAAAAAAAAATTTGTGTGGTCTATGGAATAGTGTTGTTTGTTGTTCAGTAATAAAAAGTCATTTTTGAATGAAGCTTTCGCTAGAGAGGCACATGGCTGTTGTGCCAAATGGGCTGGAAAATAACTAAAGTGGCTCATCCTGTGCATTGCATTCTGTTTAGCTGTAATCTCAGCAAAATTATCTGAACAGTTTGCAATTGAAGGAAGAGAGAATTGTGTTTAAATTATTTGTTAAAGCAGCGACTGTGGTCACATTTGGAAGGTTATTGGCATGGGCGACATTTGACTCTTGAGTCAGGGCGGGGCAAGAAAAGAAAAAAATGTATATATATATATGTATGTATATATATATATATATATATGAAATAAATAAATCAAAGTTTTTTTCTGATGTAAGCATCAAAACAATGCCCTGCCATATTGCAACGCATCAAAGCAGTCAATCCAACACAGTCAAGAATAACTTAAAGAGGTTGCCACCGCTTAGTAAACTGTGGACTAGCTTTGGCTCTTCCTGCTGACTTAAATGGTGATGCTACCCATTTGTCAGTTGATGGCCTTTCATTTTTAACCAGAAATGTGCACGCTGCTTTTCTGATGTTCACTTAAGATTTCCGTGTCTTTTTTCCTGTGTCACTTGAAACGTTTTAGTTTTTCGTTGTTACCAAAGGCGAGACACGTGAGGAAAAAATAAACGATCAGTTGTGGGAATATATTGTCATAAATCGCATACCATTAATTGCTGAACTTTCTACCGTCCGTTACTGGAAATTAAATTAAAATACTGATTGTTATGTCCCGATCTCAATAAAGTTTACAAACGCTTTTGGTCCATGAATTAGATCTCGCTCTGGGATGCGCGCTGTCTGTGGAAGTTTGGCCAGGACCGGTTCCAGAATTAAAGGGGTCATATGATGCTTTTTTAAAGATCATTATTTTGTGTATTTGGTGTAACAGAATATGTGGACATGCTTTAATGTTCAAAAAACACATTATTTTTCAAATACTGTACATTATTGTAGGTCCTCTATGCCCCGCCTCTCTCAAATGCTTCGTTTTCTACAAAGTCCCTCCTTCCGACAAACGCAGTCTGCTCTGATTGGCCAACTGACCCAGTGCATTGTGATTGGCCGAACACCACAAGCACTCGTCGGAAATGTAACACCCCTTACCATAATCGCGAGCTTCATCTTTCAAAATAAATGTAAAGACAGAGCCCGAAAGGGGAACAGAGTTGCGTGACAGACACAGTGATGAAGCTGGTATGTGTGCAGTACACAAGCCACGGTTAAGACAGCTGACTCCACTGTGATCTCTCTGTCACACACATGCGCACTCACGCACGCACACACACATACATGGTGCTCAAAACTCCACATTTGAACAGTCAATAGCAAATACTTAAACTAATAACAAAACAGTAGCTGATTCAGAAGCGCCAGATTGTCATAGCAAAGTCAGAATTACCTCCTCTCCTAGGTTCACGAAACGGTCGTCCATAAAATGCATTGCTGTTCTGTTGTAAGTAATCTTAAAGATTCCTAAATGCATCTACTTCTGGAAGGCCAAATAAAGTGCTTTTGCTTTCACACTGAAACACACAGCGTCTCCCTGACATGGCTGCATCAACACTAACTGCGGTTACTGAAACCATGCCTTCTTTTTTTGCGTGCACATAAGAGTCTTAACTTTGATAAAGAATATCTCTTTTTTGGTTTTGAGACTTTAGTCTTTGCAACTGCAGGGATCTTATCTATGCACAGTCAGCTTGTAACACTCCAAAGAGAAAGGAAAACTTGAAATTGCATCATATGACCCCTTTAAATCAACATATTTTATGTTCCGTCCATTGCCAATTACTGCTATTTGGAGAGTGAATCCCGCATAAATATGCGGATGTCATTCCCGAAACTTTGCAGGGTGTAGCCTATGTGTCTGAAAACCGAAAGTTTCATACAAATTCTGAATGGATTATACCCTAGAAAATGCACAAAGCGCGTTCCCTTTATCACCAAAAAGCATCACTCATCTTTGTTCATCGCGATCTTACAAAGCTCCGTTATAATCCGTGAAGCTCTCTAAACTGCACAATTAATCTCTTATTTATATCGCGTCTGCACTTAGTCATGAGATGATTCACGAGTGTGCAAAACTGCACTTAAAAACTGCGGCGCTTTCAGCGGTGAGTGAATTCTGACAAAACGTTTCTGATTGGCCATTGCATTCAAGAAATCAACAGATTCTATCTGTGATTGGCTACATTGCTCAACACTGCAAAAACGCATGGTAAATAGTAACTTTTTATCCTGTCCAGAGCACAAACACAAATAAGCACTGTATAGTTTGTCAGATGTTTGTATATTGGTGTTTGGGTTTGCTTAGCTATACTTTGGGGACAAAATTGTCCTCCAAAGTTCAACAGAACTGATCAAAATATCAAAATCTGGACATCTGAGTATCCCTGTCTTGTGTGTGTTGTATCATAAAATATTCTAAAATATGCAACATTCTGAAAAGTTTTGCAAAAGTCATCATGTGCAGAAAGTCTTTAGTAGTTCCATTATCATTCAAAAGGATTTTTTACTTTATTTCTTCAAGGATGCATTCAATTGAACAAAAGTGACATAAAAACTTTTTCATTTTATACATAAAAATGAACTTCAAAAAGTTATTTGGAACTTTCTATTCATTAAAGGATAATGAAAAAAAACATTTCCCACAAAAATATTAAGCAGCACAAGTTTTTTTTTTTTAAATAATTAGAAAAAAAAAAAGTATGTTGAGCACCATGATTCCTAAATGATCATGTGACACTAAAGACTAGAGCAATGGCTTCGGAAAATTAAACTTTGCCATCACAGAATAAATTACAAACATATTAACATAGAAGACAGGTATTTAAAATTGTAATTAAATTTCACAATATAACTGTTTTTTCCTATATTCTTGACAGAAAAAT